TCCTTTCTCTCGCTGCGCTTTTCTCTTTTTTTCGCCAACCGTTTTTCGTGCTGCACCCCAACAACCTGAACGCCTGGAAGCGGCTAATTGTCTCTAAAATCTTTATTACTCGGGCTTCCATAGGAAAGCCCGAGTCTAAAAATACAAGCCGTTCTTCTTGGTGGTGGAGGAGAGGGGAGTTATGGTCCCAGCAATTTTGGTCCCGGGCTTTCCTAGCGGAGAGCGTGGAAACTGGGGATGAGGATAACCGTGTGCTTTTTCACTTCATAACAGACAGAATGTTGTGTTTTGCGAAGAAATCTTTGGAAAAAATCATGCCTTATACACTCATTTGACATTACGAGATGTCGAGCGTTTTCGGAACGGGTCGTTCTATGAATTCTACGGCTTGAAAGCTCGCCAAACTAGATAACCGGGAATCAGGAATCTTCATAAACAGAACTTTGAAGGTGAGGCAAACAATATGCAATTGGATAAATAGGATACTCAACGAAACTTGAAGAGAAAATATCTAGGCTTAACTCTTACATTAAATATTCCGATTCGTTTGTTTTTGTGTTCAATAAGTGCAATAAAGTAAACGCTCTTGAAGCGTCTAGTTTTTAATAGATGAGAATCTCATCGCGTTTGAGATTCCCAATGGCGGCCGCGAAGACACAGCCATTTTGTTTTCAATGTTTACAACTTTTACAATTTTGTTTATAATGGTTAGAGGAATTACTACAAANCTGGCTTCCATAGGAAAGCCCGAGTCTAAAATTACAAGCCGTTCTTCTTGGTGGGGGAGAAGAGGGGAGTTATGGTCCCAGGCTTTCCCAGCGGAGAGCGTGGAAACTGGGGATGAGAATAACCGTGTGCTCTTTCACTTCATAACAGACAGAATGTTATGTTTTCTGAAGAAATCTTCGGAAAAAATCATGCCTTATACGCTCATTTGACATTACGAGAGGTCGAGCGTTTTCGGAACGGGTCGTTCTATGAATTCTAGAGCTTGAAAGTTCGGCAAACTAGATAACCGGGAATCAGGAGTCTTCATAAACAGAACTTTGAAGGTGAGGCAAACAATATGCAATTGGATAAATAGGATACGCAACGAAGTAACTTGAAGAGAAAATATCTAGGCTTAACTCTTACGTTAAATATCCCGATTCGTTTGTTTTTGTGTTCAATACGTGCAATAAAGTAAACGCTCTTGAAGCGTCTAGTTTTAATAGATGAGAATCTCATCGCGTTTGAGATTCGCAATGGCGACCGCGAAGACGCAGCCATTTTGTTTTCAATGTTTACAACTTTTACAATTTTGTTTATAATGGTTAGAGGAATTACTACAAAATGTTCACCAACAATTGACCGACTGAAGCGAGTGAATTTTTTTCTGAAACAATTAAACTGTTAAAACTATAGGTAACCCATTCATAATATTTGCATATTAATAATAAGATTTTGTATTGTATGAAATTTAGAACTGAGAATTTCTGTCAATAAATAATGTCGAAATCACGAAACAGAGTTCACGAAACTGTTTGGCGTTGCTTTTTATCGCTAAGTTGTGTTTCGATGTCATCATTTGAGCGATTTTGTTCAATATATCCTGTCAAGTATTATTTACAAACAAGGAAGTTCAGAAGGCGATGTCGACACGAGATAATTTTAGCCCAAAAACGGCTTCCGTTGCCATTCTTCTTCTTCTTCGTCATAGAGAGTTAAACAACATTTCGGTGAAAGAAAATTGTGCATACCTTGTTTCTTTGCGGAATGAACAGCTCCATAAAAATCAAATACCATTTTGAAATTGGCCGCCATGAATACAAGAAAGTTCAGAGCGTAAAAACGTAATACGCACGCTCGATGTTTTACCGCTGGTCAGGGTCCAAGTTTGAAAAAATGGCGGGAATTTCGTCGATCGTGTAAATCAAACAATGTTATTAACTTTATTTGTTTTTCCAAACTTATGCGGTGAGCTGCAACATTTTCACATTACTAATGGAAAGCTGGTGTATTGTTTTCGTGGGAAATCAAGTTTTTTCGGACAAAATTAACCTAAAGGTTTCCGAACACTTTATTTCTCTGCGGTGTACAAGAATCTCGATGCGAAGACTCATTTTTTTCGCACAAACCCTCTTACATATTGCATCCATATAAGCACAACACTGAGTATCGTGTGATATTTGTTATTCGTACCTGTTTCGCAGGTTATTCGTGCTCTTTTGAGCGCAGTTGGATAATAACATCATTTAACTGATATCTTCAGTTAAAGATTCAAAATTTATACATGACACAGAATTATTTTAAAAACTGGAAATCAGATGACATAGAAATTCCTAAAATATTTACAAATTCAACTTTCGTGCAACTTTTTTTCAACTTTTCCTAACCCTAACCCGAATTGTACTCTGAAAAGATCTGTAAACTACCTACTTATTATCGTGGGAAAATCTCAAGCCGAGACCTTGCCGGCAAGGCCGATGTTTGAGATTTTTCCGTAAAGACCGAAAATTCGAGGTCTATAAGTTGTTTATTATATGGCTTTTTGCTTTGCTTTTGCAGGCTTGTAACCGGCCCTTGGGCATTATGAGAAAATAATGCCCTCGAATTAGTTAATCTGAGCAGGCGTTATATCGGCTACAAACACAAGCAATATAATAAATAGCGGTATTAACTTGTAGTGACATCGGCCATATCAGTACTTTCGCAGAAGAGGATATTTTTACTAGCTACGAACAAAGCTCATACTCTCAAGAAATGTGAAAACAAAGTAACTGATGTCTCTGCTACCCTCAAGTAAACAGCGTCCGTGTTAAGTCGAGTACAAGTTTTTGATTTCAACTGCTTTGACAGTCTGGTTTGTGCTCTTTCCAGTGGTTTTTCTGGCACGTCTTACTGCAGTAGAATACTGTCTTACAACCAGAGCACCTCTTCAAATTTTCCGTCTTTGAATGACAAGAGGCGCATTCAGGCTCTCTTAGAGGAGCTGCCCACCGAGGGGGGTCAAAAAAAGACCCCTGATCCGGCCCCGCATCAGACCGATCCCTCTGGTGTTGGAAAAATTCTGTCAAGAATTCAACGAAGCTTTCTGGAGAAACACTCTCTTTGGATTGGCTAGTTTCTGGCGAAAAAAACGGGTTGAATGGAAAGTTCTTCATTTTTGTTGCAAATCTGCCTGCTGCTCCTGTAACAAAAGAAAGAAGGAAGATGTGAACTGTGTAATTTTTTTAAATAATAAATATAGCTGTAAGTTACGTATTTGCTCTTCCTTCTACAGTTGACGTATAACTTCGGTCAGCAATATCAATGCATGCAGTTAAAGCTAAATTATACCGCATTTACAAATGTGTAGCAAATCATCATTTTTACGACGGATTAGTAATTGTTAAAACTATTTCATAAATTACATCAGTTATTCTTAGAACGTGTCATTCGTAAATCCCTTTTCAAAAACTACATGCATGATGAATGTACAAAAAACCTATCCCATGTTATGGAATAACTTTGATTAAGAACCCACATGATCCTCAGCTCTCCGTTCCCACATACGACACAAAGGTAAAGTCGAACCACACTGGTCAGATACATATATCTTATCAGATGTTTTGGTGTGTAGTATCGCTGTATATTTTACGAGTTGAATACAAACAACGGGTAAAAATGTAAAGCGATACTACACACCAAAACATCTAATAAGAGATTTATTATCCAATTGCTGTAGTCAATAAATTTATCAATTAAAGAGGGAGAGTGTGACAGTTTTGCGTGCGCGCGCCGACCTGTCCGGCAAACAGGTTTTCTACTGTACAAATAACTGTACAATATCGCTGTATATTTGTACTGTTATTCGGACGGTATTCGCTGCAATTGGATAATAAGCGCACTCATTTTCGAAAGACAATACAGCCTTTTCGAGTGTTTATATTTAGAACCAGTAAAGGTCGTGTTATCATGACCGGTACAGTAAGGGATCTTGTTTACCTCAGAATTTCTTAGATTATATTACTTAAAAGAGCCGCCGGTTTAAAACATGGTACCAGTCTTAACTCGACTGTTAATGCTGTTGTAAGTTTACGGTATCCTTTAGAACTAATTTTATACTGAAATGAATAACTTTCATTATACAAAAATGAGGAATACACCCTCAAAGACTAACGCAGATAATTACTTGGTACATGGGGGAAAGTATCTGACTTACCTGCTACGTCAAAAGGTTTTTCCCTTGGAAACATAAGAGTTATGAAGGAATTCTTCCAAACATCAGATTCCCTTTCTTGAGGAACTCGGGCTGCATTTGTGTACAGCATTTTACGAATCAAGCTCTTCTCCTGTTGAAAGGAAGGCAAGAGATGATTTTCAACTTGTAAAAAAGAAAATCTTAATTCTGTCATTTACTAATAGCTACTAATTCACATTTGTCTCATTGTTATTCATATTTTCAATTTGAGAAAGCTCATATTAAAAATTAATCGTAAGTTTAGAATCTCGACCTAAGTAAAGAGACAACATATTTATGTAGTGTGTTCAAATGTCGAGCAACAAAATATTACACTGTAAGAAAATACAAACACTCGAGAGGATTTCTTCCAGTTCAGCTCGTCCTTTCTGCTATAGAAGCTCATGTGCAGCCATGTTCCCGGGCCGCTTTCTTTTAAGACAAAAAGACCGGGAATTGCGCTCACCTGTTGATCAGCTACAATTCTGTCAACTAAATGAAGCCACGATGCCGACCAGAATGATCTCATCAGCTCCATTTGTGCACCCTCTGACTTATTCCGAAGCATGTCAGCAAAATGTTGACAATCGCAGAAGAGGACTTTAGCGACAGGTAAATATTTCCATTTGTACAACTGTTGTACCACAATAACAAAGCCCTTCTTCCTTGACATGTTGCCCGGTGTCTGATATGGTTTTTCGATGATTCCTCTCTCATCAAGACAATACACCAGGGGCGACGTTGGTGGAAAAAAGTGCTATGAGTTAATCAAATATACTTTTTAAAACTATTTGTAACTTTTTAGAGTTAACTTCAACTCTAAAATGTAAAGAACAAGTCCATAAGGTTTTTTTAAAGTTTTGAAAAGACGATTTACTCTAAGAGGCTGAAACTTTCAGTAGCTGTTCATTCATCCTCCGCAAAAATTTTGATATGTCAGTTGCGTGTCAATAATTTTTGACGTTGCCATGGCAACCGCAATTTTCATGAAAGTCTGGCCGAAGATCAACTTTTTGGACATAATAGACCTTTCCCGCATTCCACTACAGTGCATTCGAACAATAGTACCAGAGCGAGGTTGAGGTGGACATTTTCATACATTTGCTGTATTTTTGTCCACCCTAACCTCGACTCGGTGCCATTGTTTGCTGGAATGTAGGAAAGGTCTATTCTCTATTTTTCCAGTTTTCTATATCAAATTGTAGAAATTCACAAATATTTACATTCGAGAAGCATTCTGGCTTGATTTTGTATCAATGTCCGTTATTTCTTGACCTTTTAATGAAAATAGTGAAATCCAAGATGGCGGATCCAAGATGACGGATCCAAGATGGCGGGTCAGATGACGTCATTTGACTTCATATGACGTCATGACCAACAAAAATGGCATCATCATGTAGAGCAGTCTTAGGGCTATCTAATCAACGTAAATTTATTTAGTCCCCCTCCTCCCCCAGGCTAAGTATGGTTGAGACAGCGAGCGTGGGTAAATATGTAGAATTTTTTTTATCCATAAATAACTACTGGTAATACTGCGCTCGCTTAACGTGTTAATTGTAACTCATACCTTAGGCTTGTCAATGTGATGTTCAAAGATAAGGAAAATAGTATCTCTAAGGTTAAAAAACGGCGAGCCTCTTTCGTCTCGTTGTTTCAGCTCATAATCGAGCTCGGTGCGAAACATTTTCGTGCAGATTCTGAAATGAAAACCAAAATTTGCAAAGCATTACTCTAAAAATTCAGAGAAACATTAAAGCGGCAGGCATATTTAACTACCCTTCTTGTATAATGGAACTCCGTTAAAACGGTCACCAACGGGCCATGAATTTTGGCCGTATTAACGAGCTACCAGACCCAGAAATACCGTTTTATTAACGGGGTGGCCGTATTAACGGGGTAAGGTCAAATTTCATGATTGGTCGAAATTGAGTGACGTCTTAACAGATATGTCACAATGGCACTTCTAAACAACTGTTCTTTGATAAGCAGAATGCAGATCTACTTTTTTTTTAAAGAATTGAAATTTGAATCAGTGTACGAAATATTAACGATGGAAGAATGAACATAACTGGTTAGAGTGGCCGTATAAACGGGGTAAAATTAAAAAGGATTTTACAGGTTGAAATTTCAGAATGGGGTCGTCAGCCGTATTAACGGGGTGGCCGCATTAACGGTTTTTTTTTTATCAGAATATGTATGGGTGTCCCGCCAGGAAAAAAAAAATGGCCTTAATAACGAGGTGACGGTAAGGCGGGGTTACACTATACTTAGAGCGTTCGCCCACTTTGGCATGGACGGGTTCTGGCCATCTTCAAATTTAGCTTCAATGGACCTTTTCGGAGATACGGCGGCCATTTTGAATTCTCTTGTTTCAAATAGCTATTATGGGATGCTTAGAGGGCCAATACTTACCAGTTTGCAACCTGGGCATCTCATAATAGCTATTTGAAACAACAGAATTCAAAATGGCCGCCGTATCGCCCTAAAGATCCATTCAATCTGCCACCAACAAGGTGGAGACAACAAACAAACAAATGGGCAAGTACACTAGAAAGTAAACAAACAAAGAAACAAATTATGCCTTTCGTAGGTTTGGAAAAACAAAGCGGTAAAGTTCTCATTGCACGAGTCTCGTTGACTCTCGTGGGCTTTTGTTGGGCTCGCATAGAATTCTATTAAACCTGCCCAAGTTCATCTCCGGTGTATCTTGAGAGTCATCAAGAGCAGTCAAGAGATCTGTTTTCTCATGTTTGGCCCATTTTTGCTGAGGGTTGAAAGTGGCTTTAGTCATGATGGCGAGAAAATTATTAACAAATTTTGAGAGAATTTTCAAATATCACTTATAATGATATCACTTATAATGTAAATGTTAACTGCATCCGCATTCATACGATTACTTATACTCATTCTAAAAAACATGGCGGGCTCTGATTTTAAAACAAGGGTCTCGGCGGGATTTGAACATCCCACACCCCTTTTAAAAGTGCCAATATGTTGCTTACAACGGTTAAACGTGTTTAAAAGTGCCTATGTTGCTTACAATGGTTAAACGTGTTTAAATAGCAGATTTGCACGATAGCGTCACTTGACTACAACTACCAGAATTCATTTCGTTTTTCGCTTTATTGTTAAATTTTGAAGCCCCAGTGGGGGTCAGAAATAACAGTTGCCCTAATTAACATAAGAAACAGAAAAAGCGAAGGATTCCGGTACTTGTAGTCAAATAACGCCATTATGCAAATCGCTTATTGTACATACTGAATGTCATGCAGCCTAGCATCCCATACTGTCAAAGCGTGGAAGGGGACTGGTGCCGGGTTCTGCAGCACAAGCTCCCCGACTGTTCCATCTTCTCTCTTGGGAATGTCACAAAGTACTTTTCCGCGCGTGCGCGAGATCTGGAACTTAGAGGACTTCTCATCGACAGAACATGAAAAGTACATGTTGAACGGGCCGCTGTCAGAATGAAGAAATCATAATGACAATGACTTAAAAAAAATGTATAAGTTCGGTTACTTGCTGTTGATGTAGGTTTAACAAGCACTTTTAATTCCAGTTCAGTTATTAAATGTGAACATATTATAAGCTGTTCCTTATTATCAGGGACTGAGTGGGGATCAGAAATAATTTTTGTAAATTAAACGAAAACCTCCGACCTGGAAATGCTCTGCAATCGTAAATGCGATAGGAAATACAGGAAAAGCCCCCTGGTGGTGAAATGCTCCTCAAAAGTACAAGAAAATAAAGTTATATCAATTGAAGCTCTTTTAAAAAGAATAAATCGATCTCTTATTACAGGAAAAGCCGGTGTGTCCATATCTGAAGGGGTAAGCTTGCGTATGAAATTTGGTGGATGAAATTAAGGGACGCCATTATCTTTTGAAAGTGACCTAAAGGACGAAACTCTTAGAATTAATTATGAGAAGGACTTTGCTCCTTTAAAAGTATCGTTATTCTAACTGAAAGCGTTTAGAGTAATCATGCTATTAATTTAGATTTGTCAGGGCTAAATGAAAACATTTACTTTAAATTGGGAGACTCGATGGTATTTTTGCTGCAGGGGAATCTAAATTAATAATATACCCACCCTCTTGCTCCCTCAAAGCGAATTTGGACTCGGGTTGGACATTTCACTGGCTGAAATGTGATCTTCATCGCTTTTGCTTTGCAGCTGGCTGAATCTAATATTTCAAGTTCTGCATAGTATTTGAATGAGCTTTCTTCGACTTTAAGTAACTAGAGAAAAAAAAGAAAAAAGGAAAAAAAAAAAAAAAACCCCAACGTCGATCGTAATACGTTAGTGGTAAACACAGTTACACAGTATGCGTGCATTACCGTTAATGGGTGTTTCCGTGAGTCTCTCAACTGAATAGCGTTTAAACTACTAGCAGCAGGGTCACTTAGACGAGTGCTTAGCCATCGTGAACGCCTCATAACCCTTGCTGAATTTCTTGAGAAAAAGAGACTGTCAGCAGTCTTAATAGCGTTTAGAAAATATAATATAAATTAAGGACAAAAAAAGATGCATTGAACTAAAGACAAGTTGACCACTCAGTCGAACACGTGATGACGGTTAGCTGCCAGTCCGGGGAGAGGGGAAGTACTCCAAGAAAAGTTGGGTGGGGGTGTGAGGCCCGCTTGGTAACAGGACATTGTGTCGTCCAATTCAGTCTGTAATCATACTCGTCATTAACAAATCGGACTCCCGCTTCGCGGTCGTCCGATTTTGTTAATCACTCGTATGATTACAGACCGAATTGAACTCCACTCAGTCCTATTACCATTATTACTCTTGCCTGATAACGGAGCTACTAACGTTATAAAATATGTTTTACGCTACTTTTGAGGACAAATATACAATAATTGAAATCAAATTACTGTTTAAAGTTACCTTAATTACTTGGTCCTTTTCGTTGAATCCTATCACGGTAAAGGTTTGGACTGAGAACAATCCAAATTTCTCGACCGGATCGACCCGTGAAACGCTTTCAACAATCTCGTCTCCAAAGCGTACATCTTCACAATTTATGACTGGAACTAAGTAACTAGACGAAATCCACATCCAGGAATTTGACTTCAGCTCTTTCCAGTCCTTTTCACGAAGATGAAATGTTACAGTGTGGGCGTCGACGTCGTATCGCAAGCTATTGTAAATTGCTGAGAAGGTCGGTTTAGCAGATAGGGGCAAACCAAAAAAACGCTTGAAAGAGACAAAAGAAATGCAAAAAACCGTTCGTTTCAATTAAGAAATAAACATCTACCGTGTTTCTATGAAGTTTTAGTATAAATCTACTAGCGTTCTATCACAAATGCCGTTCTCTGATTAGCTACGCTACTCACTATCTATTCTGTGATAGATAGTGAGTAGCTTAGCAGTGTGCGCTTGTTAACAAAATGACGGCCGCTTCTTGGCGTTTTCGAAGTGTCTGTGAAGAGCTTTGAACGACTAGTAGATTTATACTGAAACAGTTAGGTTATTCGCTCTCGATTTCTATCCGTGATAGTTGACATGGGCGCAACACGGGCTGCGTCCTCGTCAACTATAACGCGACAGAAATCTCGAGCTCAAAGTCCAATAGCTTAATAGAAGCACGATTTTTCACCAATTAGCGCGCATATCTTCCCTGGGCCATTTTCTAATTGTGTGATATTTTGGCTCAGGGGAAGTTTTCAAGGGTTCACTTGCCTCACTGCTGTTGGCGCTCAACTCCGTTTACCATAGTTACAGTTGCACGATGCATGTTGAAGTATAACTAGTAAGCGGCGCAAACAGGGGAAGAGAATCTAGTCAGTCAGGATTTAGGGAAAAATCGACCCATCTATTTTAATCTGTGCCTCAACATTACTCACAAGTGATGGATTTTGCATGTTGCGGGCTCCTCATAGTTCATCTAGATATTCATGAGCAATCTAGATTCATGCTCTAAATACAACTCTCCGGTATCCATGAACATGAATAGTTAGATTTTAGTAATGGGAGACGATGCACATTAAAGTTTTGCCTCGTCTCAGAACAAAACACAAAAATTAACTTGCATGTGCTGAATTCATATTTTTGCAACTTAAGCTAAGTCAAGCAATTAATTTGTTTCCACGGCAGCCATGTGTCAATTCAATATGTTTTGGTGCAGCGTTTGGCTTAAATGATAGATTGTTTGAATGAATTCCACTATCTTGATAGTCCTAGCACTCAAATCATGGTTGATTTGACGAATATTTTGGCGTTTTGAAAATCTATGACGCCATTTTGGCGCGTTATGACGTCATGACCATCGTCGGAAACTCTTTGAAATGCGCAGAGAAGGTGGGAGCTTAGGGGAATTTACCCTCCATCCCAAAAACATTAAAGCAGAGTAGGGTTTAACTCTCGGGGAGGAAGAGGGGGAGGGGGAGGG